TCTCCTTGAAGTTGGTCCCATCAAGCATAGCCCTGTCAGTCTGGAGATTTGAAAAAACCTAGGCAAGGATTGGACTAATGTTTACTGTTTTGTTACTTATAAACCACTAACAAAGAAATTAAGACTTTATAAACATAGTATTTCTGTTGGCATAGAGTATGTGTGCTTCAGTACCAGATAAACCTCAACATCTCGGTGGCCCAGCAGAGCAACGGTTCATTACCTGTTCTGTCATGTCCACCTTGGACTCAGCCAAAGGTGTTGAGAGGAGAGGGCCGGAGTGGCCGAGGTGCGGGGGCCAGACCCCAAGCGGCCCACATCAAATCTCGTGTCCCTTAGGCTGGAGCCCAGTCACTTGGCCCCAGCCTGCACAAAGAGCTGGGAAGCACTGCAGCCTGTGGGCGGTGGGTGGGCATGGACAGGCTCTGCCTTCTGCCACCTTTATGGCCTGGCATCATCAGGATGAAATGCTAATCCGTAGAGCAACAACTACAGACCCAGCACATCACACACGAGTCCCCACAGAAACCCAGTGAGGTGAGGGTCAGCCCCCTTTCCCATGAGGACCCTGAGGCTCGGCCATGTGAAGAAAAGAGAGGTTACATGTGCAGGTTGGCCTGCTGACCAGCTCTGTCTGCTTCCAAAGTGGCCACTTCCTAACACAGGTGTCCTCCACGTTGGCACCCTGACCCCTGGCCGTGGGCGCTGGAGAGCAACCTGCCTGCATTTCTTCAAGAAGAGTGAGAGCTCCTGCCTCTGCCAGGCGGCCCTGTGAGTGAGGCCGACCTCATCACTATGTAAGAATTTGTTCACCATGTAAGAACTTGTTCGTCATGTTTCAGAAGATTGGAGACTGACGAGAACTAGGCTTGAGATGGATTAATGATTGTGCATTGAGCTCTGACTACCCTATACAGAATTTTATTGTTGTTAACAACCATTTGTTCAATAAATATGAGAGAGGCCCTCTCAAAAAAAAAAAATCGTTCTGGGGCAGAACTTAGGCTGTGCCCCTTGGGTCCGTGACAGCTTGTTCCCACTGTATGACCACAAGCCTCACCCACTGCAGTTTCTCCCTGGTGCTCCTGTTCCCCCAATGAAAGCCACATTCTGCAGGTACCATGAGGAGTACCAAGACTTAGGTTTTGGCAACTTTGTAATGGTAAATGAGTCATTCAAATCCTGAGCCTCCAGGAGAGGTTTGAGAAAAATTCTGCATGTGGTCATTATCACGGGTACTTACCCTGGCCCCATGCTGAGGTAAGGACAATACTCCCACCGGTGGTGAGGCTGGTGGCTTTAATACCCTCCTCACTTTCCTCTCAACAGTGAAATCCAGTTAGTTTGGGCTCCTGAATTACTCTCAACTCTGTGCCCATCTCTCCCTTGCCACAGAGATGCACATCACTAGCATGCCCACATGGGCTCCTAACTTGGGCCCCGTCTGGGTCCCCTGCTCAGCTTTCTTGGTCAGCAGAGATCTTTCAGGGCTGCAAAGTTGATGTCATTTCCCTAATGAAGACTGAACAGCCTCCCCTTACTCAGTCCTTCTCATCAGTAACATTTATATGGCACCTACTGTGTCCTGGCTATTGTCCAAGCACCTTATGTATATTTATTTAATTCTCACAACTGTACCCCTTTTCACAGATAAGGCAACCAAGCCACAGCAGGGTTGTGTAACTTGCCCAAGGCCACACAGCCAGCAGGCGGCAGGCAGGACTGCAGCCAGGCAGCAAGGCCCCAGCACCTGCCTCGCAGCCGCCGGGTGGCCCCTGCCTCCCGAGGACTGCTCACCTGACTGCTCCTCTTCCGGCCTCCCTGACTTCCTCTGTGAGCCTTCAGGGCACCCTGCAGTGCTCAGCACTACTGTGAACCTCTCTGTGTCTGTCATAAGCTCCCAGGGAGCCCAGATCGGGTCTGCTCGCTCCCTGTTGCCGTCCAGCACCCAACACCCAGCCCAGTGGGGTGGGAACGAAGAACTGTGTCTGTAGCGGATCCTCGATCTCTCATGCCCGCAGGGACACATGGGGCTCCCCATGGCCTGTCTCTACCAGCAGGGAACACCGCTCCACAGTCTTGTGGGCTGGGGAGGCAAGCACCTGTCAGGTTCAGAGAGCTGACTGCCTACAAGTTTTCTTAGTCTGGCTACAGAGTGGTTGTTACCTACAGGAATCTGTAGTGCATATCGCTCTGCAGCCCTCTCTGGCAACAGCCGTCTCAGAAACCCCAGTCAAAGGCTTGTTGGGTCTTAGATCTGACATCCACATGCTTCCCTGGGGCAGAATCAGGGAGCCAGGTCTAGGAAACCCAGACTCCCCTGGGAAGCTGCCCACCGTGGGGTAGGTCAGGGAGCCGCAGAATGCTCATCACCAGGGGCCCAGCCTGCACTGCTCACACAGCCAGCACTTCAGCCGGGCTTCTGCAAAGGGAGCGCCCAAGTGACAGAAGCCCAGCTGAGCTGCCTGCCGGTACCTGCGTTCACCCCAGTTCTTCCCCCACTCACCTCCTGACTTTGCACGACTCCCTCTTGAATCCCACCTGCTGCTCTTGGCCTTGGCCTGCTCCAGGCCCAGAGTGAGCCCAGCAGGACAAAGCCCAGGTGGAGTTGCCCTGGGGCCCCCAGGCTCGTGCACCACACCAGCCAGGGCACAGCCAGTGTGGGTTGCCTGCGTGATGGGGTTCGGGTAGCATTGCTGAAAGATGTTTTATCATTCAGAATGGCGCCTAACATGTTCAGAGTACTGATAAAATGTGCTCACAAGAAATGAATGTCTCAGAATATCTCCTTGAAGTTGGTCCCATCAAGCATAGCCCTGTCAGTCTGGAGATTTGAAAAAACCTAGGCAAGGATTGGACTAATGTTTACTGTTTTGTTACTTATAAACCACTAACAAAGAAATTAAGACTTTATAAACATAGTATTTCTGTTGGCATAGAGTATGTGTGCTTCAGTACCAGATAAACCTCAACATCTCGGTGGCCCAGCAGAGCAACGGTTCATTACCTGTTCTGTCATGTCCACCTTGGACTCAGCCAAAGGTGTTGAGAGGAGAGGGCCGGAGTGGCCGAGGTGCGGGGGCCAGACCCCAAGCGGCCCACATCAAATCTCGTGTCCCTTAGGCTGGAGCCCAGTCACTTGGCCCCAGCCTGCACAAAGAGCTGGGAAGCACTGCAGCCTGTGGGCGGTGGGTGGGCATGGACAGGCTCTGCCTTCTGCCACCTTTATGGCCTGGCATCATCAGGATGAAATGCTAATCCGTAGAGCAACAACTACAGACCCAGCACATCACACACGAGTCCCCACAGAAACCCAGTGAGGTGAGGGTCAGCCCCCTTTCCCATGAGGACCCTGAGGCTCGGCCATGTGAAGAAAAGAGAGGTTACATGTGCAGGTTGGCCTGCTGACCAGCTCTGTCTGCTTCCAAAGTGGCCACTTCCTAACACAGGTGTCCTCCACGTTGGCACCCTGACCCCTGGCCGTGGGCGCTGGAGAGCAACCTGCCTGCATTTCTTCAAGAAGAGTGAGAGCTCCTGCCTCTGCCAGGCGGCCCTGTGAGTGAGGCCGACCTCGTGCGCCCCCCTCTGAACCTCCAGAGGTGAAGAGTGGGTCTTGAAAACACTTTTCTAAAGACTCAGACTCAGCCACAGCTTGAGGTGAATATCTCTCTCGTTCCTGGGAGAGGTCTTCCCCCTCTGAAAACCTCCTCCACAGGGAAATGGCTGGACTGAAGAACTACAGGACCCTCTAAGCCTGTCTCTGTCCCCTTGGGAAGCTGGTCTCAGATTCCGGGAACACCTTTTGGGCTGCACAATGATGGCAACGGGGCCTGTGATCAATCCTGAGCCATCCTGCGGCCAGTGTGTCTCTCCGTTTCCGGTACCTTAGAATCGCCTGGGTGGGGGTGGTAGTGGCTACAAGTCCTGATGCTCAGGCCACTGCCCCAGGCACCATTCCCAGCCTCAGGGGTGGGACCCAGGAATCAGGAAAGTTTAAAGCTCCCCCAGTGGTTCTGAGGTGCAGCCAATTTGAGACCTGCCTGAGGTACACTGATATTTTACTTGGTATCAACAGGGACATGTTGAAGCAAGGGGTAAAAACAAGGCCTCCAAGAATTGTTCGCCTGGTGCTATGGCCAAACTGCCTGAGAAATTCAAGTAAGCTACAGTTAGTTACCTTTCATTTTTTTTCCACAAGAAATTCAGCCAACGTAAATGTCATTTAAGTACTGAAAAATACACCCAACACTGAATGTCTTAAGGCCATCCACCGAGGGGTGCAGCCTGGGACCACACTTTGCAAAGTTGTAAAAAATGGGTGTTGTTTTTGCCCCAGCCTACTGCTAACTAGTGTATTTTTTTGAAGTTGTGAGCCTCTGAGATAAGGGCTAAGAGATAATACTGTAAAAATAAAAATGTATAGATATTCCTGAGTATAATTGTAGAAAGTGTCATTTTTAAATGTCTTCTTGAACAGAGCCTTTAACCTTTCTCAGTAAGCCCTGGAGGTCAGGTGAGGGAAGTTTGCTCAAAAATCAAGAGGAAAATGACTGTACAACGTGGCTGTACAAGGGTTTCCAATTCTGCCTTGTAAAAGTATATTACAAATGTGTTTTATTTTAGCAAACTGTAAACAGGAAAAAGACTTGTCTCATTAAATAATTTATTCAAAAGCTTGGAAACATGCTTGGATACTGATGTGGGGCTTTTGTTTGTTCTGAAATGGTATTTGTCTCCACCGCCAGGGCAGTGGGAGGTGGCCGTGCCCTTACCTGGTGGCACCTGAATCCCACCCTCTGTCTTCTTTCTACAAATGACCCAAAAGTACAGTGTGCTTAGCTGCCTCTGCTAAGCTTCCACAGGAGCTTTATTTTCTCCAAAACCGTCATGCTGTCAGGAGTTAGCAACTTACAAAAAGTGAATGGGGACTTGGGGTAGAGTCCTTTAGACATTGGGCTAGGACTTTTCTCTGTGACATGATAAATTCTCGATACTCAAAGTGCATTAAATTCATAGATGATTTATTGCTTTAAGTAACTAAACAAGAAAGAGAAGAGACAGGCTGTTGTTTTGGTCAAGACAACGATGCATTCTCTCTCCAAGGTGCACCAGTCACATCTACTTAAAGCGTCAACGATACTTTCTGAACAACATAGACATGTGAGAGCATACATGAGAAACAACTTGGCCAAGTACTGATTAAAAGAGCACAAAACAAGGGCTCCCAACCTGTCGGATTGCCGTGAAATGACAGAAGGAACATGTGTGCATATGATGTGCTGAATACAAAACCTTTAAAAATACTTTTCGGGTAGTAATACCAACACACAATTCCTTCTCGGATGTTCTGCAAGAGCAGGTACACAAGCAGAAAGACTTCCTGGTTCCAGGTTACCAGAATCTAGGGGAATATACCAAGAGAAAGCCAGGAGGTGGGGCGCCTCCCTCCCCAGTGCTATTTTCTTTGCCAGAGCAGCAGCACTTGAGGGCTGTGGGGGGAGGGACAGCGGCTGGGTGTGGGGGGCTCCAGTGGTTGTTACAGGTCACCAAGCAGCTGCAGAACAGCAGGGCCGGACACTGCCCAGGGGTGTGTGGGGATGCACAGCAAACAGCCTCAGTCAGTAGCCGGGTGGTCCGTGGGCTTGGCCCGAGTGCCCGCTGGAGGCCTCGCGGGGCCAGTCCCCGGCTTGGGAGAGGCAATGGGGCCAGGGCTGGGGTTCCAGCCCCTAGGTTTAGAAGAAATAACCTGCCCTCTTGCATTCTGACACTGGGCATCACGACATGGCCTGAGGGGATGGTCAGAAACCAACACTGTCGGGGGCCTGGAGGAGCTCACAAGGAGAGGGCGAGGCAAGCCAAAGGGTGAGACACGGTGCCAGGGCAGTCCTGCCCTGGACGCAGGGCCACTGCCCCCTCAGGTGGCGAACCTCGCGGGTTGGGCTCAGTCGCCTCCTGCGGGCTCTGCGGCCGCCTCTTTGGCCCCCTCCCCTGCAGCCTTTCCGGACTCTGTGGGCCCGGCACGGCCCCCTGCAGGGGCCCCAACGAGGCCAGTGGGCCCGTTCTGCACGGCACCTCCCTCTGTGCGGAGCCGGCCCCCGGGACACGGCCTTTCTCCTGAGCCCTCATGCGTGGGGACCTTCACCTCCTCGGGGGCCCCGGCCTCCTGTTGCGGGCCCGACACACAGTTGCCCACGTCTCCAGCTTTGGGGAACTGGTCTTCTGAACGCTTCTCGCTTTCCTCTGCCTGCTGCCTGTCTCGGGCGCTCAGTTTACCTTTGGATTTCCTCATCTGCCTGTGGTGCACATCCTCCCGGGAGAATCGCCACTGGAACTGGAAATCAGAGACGAGGGGAAGTAAGTGCGGTCCCCGGGAGCCCAGAGCCTCGCCAGCCTGTCTTCGCCTAATTCACAGCCACGGCACCTTCCTGGAGCAAGGCACACGGGCGGCAGATCCCTAAGCAGAGTTGCCCCATGGCCCACCCACCACTGCGCCTGCTCCTGCCTCCCAGGCAGTGGATTTACATGTGGGCTTTATTGGCAGGAGGGCATTTCTTTCAAATGGGTCCATAGCAAAGGCCTGGGAAAGCAGGTCCTGAAATACTGTCATTTGGAGAACGGGGGTGGGAGAGGAGCTGGGCCTGCCCCTCTGCAGGCTCGGGCTCTGGGTCCCGCTCCGCTCTGAGCAGGCTGTGGGTTACCAAGCACAGGGCGGGATTCCCTCGCCAGACCACCCAGACTGGAAGGACATGGAACATTGGGCGGGTGCCTTGCTGGGTGCCCCGGCCTCCCTGCAGGGCCGGCGGGCTTCCTCCGAGCCCCCCTCTGCTGCGGACCCCACCGCCTCACCAAAGCTCACACTGCCTTGGGAAGCCTCTGACCAATGGCTGGTCCAGGCGGGGCCCTAGGCCCATTCCTCTTGCCCCAACTCAATGTCCCACACAATACATCTGTACCATCTTCCTCCACACCCCAGTCTTCCTGAGCAGAGGCCTCTCTGACCTCCATCACCCTGAGGGGTCAGTATCCTAAACAGAGGGCCTAGGTGAGGCCTGCATCCCCAGTACCCATGGAGTCAGATGCCAGAGAGCGTGTGGTGATGCAGAAGATGTGGTCACGGAACCTTCAGGCCATGCCAGGCCAGCCGTGGCTGGCACAAAGAGCGAGAGGGACACCCCAGAGGAGAGAGAGCCGGGTAGGTGTGGGCGAGTCAGGACCCCCAGCCACAGCTGTCTCAGGTGCCACACAGGTACCGAGCAGGCTGACTCAGGTAGGCCCAGTTCCTCCTCTGTCCTGTGAGGGGCCATTCTCACAAGGCAGGGAGGTAGCAGTGGCCACAATTCAGAGTCTGTATAACCTAAAGCCAAATGTTCCAAACTGTGACGGCAGCCTGGCTGTGGGGCGGCAGCCTAGGAGAGAGCAAGTGTGAAGCAGAGCGCCCAGTGTCTTGCGCTGTGATGTGCTTTCCATTTTCCCAAGTCCCTAGAGCTGCTGGCACTAGGCACTGTTAGCACCATGTTATAAATGAGCACAGAGAAGTTCAGAGAGGTTAAGTAACTTCCTCAAGTAACAGAGCTGGAGAACAACAGAGCTGGAATTCAAACAGGTGTCTCTGGCTCCACATCAGCCTTCTGGCCTCTCATTTTTGGTAGGTGAAAGGCTTTAGGCTCTCGCCCTGGAGGGCAGGGAGGACAGGAAGCAGAGGCAGAGGCTACACAGCTTTGGAATGGCTCGGTCCAATGCAGTGCCTCAGCTTTCAGGCTGCGGTGTCAGGATGCATCTGCTGGGCCAGGCACTTGGCTCATTAGCAAGTCCAGATTTAACTGCCATTAAAGATACTTTGGTTTGGCTTATTAAAAACAAGTATCTACACTGAAAGCTCTGGACAGGCCCATTAAAAAAAAATCAATAATGATAAAATGTGAATGTAGGTCCACAGGTGAGCTGGGAAAGGGTCCTAGTCAACTAAGACGCTGGCTCTCTGACTCAACTTGAGTGGGCAGTGGGATGACCTGGGGGCCTCCTTCAAGCCCGTCACTCACCCTGACCCAAAACTTCAGACTCAGGCGGCCTGGGGAGGGGAGGGAGATTGCATGGTAACCAGCTCCCAGGCGAGGCGGGCACTGCCAGCCAGGGAAGGGCTTCCTCTGCCTCCCTCCCATCTGTCTCCACACCTGCCCTCGGCCCCAGCAGGCTTCTCTTCCTCCTTTAAGCTGGGGACAGGCATGGCCCTTAAATGACAGGAGTATTCTAGACAACCGAGGCTCAAAAAGGCGACGTCTCAGAGAGCAAGGAGAGGAGAGGCAGGGATGTGGCCATCCCGAGACAAAGACAGCTCATCGGTTTGAGGCTCTTGGGAGGCTGGGACATCCACACACTTAAAGGCAGGTGGTCCAGCCTGGAGGAAGCATCCCACACCTTAGGGTACCAGGAGAGCCTCTGAACTCACACACCAGCCACAGGGCAGGCCGGCCTTCCGGAGCCCGGTGTCCACGTGCCTGTGTGTCGTGGGTGAGCTGCTGGTGCCAAACCGAGAAGGATGCCAATCAGCCACCCTTCTCAGAAATAACCGTGGAAAAGAAAATCCTTTCCTTTGCAGCAGTGTGTGTCTCAGTTCCATGTCAGCACAGTTGATGGATTTAATTCGCCCATTTTAAAAGCTGTCCGTTTTGTGCCTCCATGTTGAACAGTTTGACAGGAAGGAAGACTTCTCTGGTGTGGTAGAAATCACCTTTTACCTTAGGATGAGTCTAATATTTGATTTGAAATCAGAAAGCTACACTCACATACACACAAAGCGGTTTCTTTCAAATGCTGACAAGTCTTGATTGGAGAATTCCATCCACTTTGCTGGTTAAAAGAGGACTAAATAAACTGTGTCCTTGGTGTGCCAATCTTGACGTCTTCTCTTAGATTTCAATGCTAGACATAATTTGTATGTCCCACACTCAGACGTCTGATTACTCATTCATTGATTCCACAAATATTTATCCAACGCCTAGTAGAAACCAGGTACTGGGCATACAGCAGTCAAGAAAAAGGGCCTTGCTCTCATGCAGGTAATGTTTAGATCTACCAGCAGAGGGTAAACTAGCGAAGACAAATAATTAACAACCAAGAGAACAGTTCTGAGAGAGGAACATGGTTCTTCCCAGTGTCTCCCAAAGGAGCCCGGCCTGGTCTGAAAGGGGAGAATACTGTCCTGAGAAAATACACAAGAGGAGTGTTTCAGGCAGACAGAAGCACCTAAGCAAAGGCCCTCTGGCAGAAAAGGACGTGGAAGAGGGTGAAGGACTGGGTAGCTGGGCTGAGGGAAATGGAGCTGAGGGTGACAGCAGGAGAGACATGAGGGGCAGATCACACAGGCCCTTGCAGACCCCATGACAGATCTCCATCTTCATCTGAAGAACACAAAGCTTTAGAACCATCGAAAGCAGTGGGGTGATGTGATTCAGTTTGTTTTAAAAGATCACTTTGGCTCTGAGTGGAGGGAAGTGGAGGACTTCAAATGTCCAGGACCTAAGATAGACTGAGTATGGGGGAGGGGGCAGGAGAGCCAAGGATGACCCCAGGTGGGTGGCTGCCTCTGAGTGGGGGGTCAAAGTTGTCTGAGATTGTTGAGCAGTGACAGGGCAGGTAGAGTGGGGCCTCTCAGAGGAGAGGCGAGGGCCAAAAAGGTGGACAAGGGTCATCACACAGAGGTGGGGGTGAGACTTCCTTACCTGGGATGAGATTTTCTAAGGAAGAGGTAAGGGAATAAGAGGGAACGGGCTGCATCTGAACCCCAAGCAGCACGGTGGAACCAGAGAGCGGGAGTCAGAGCCGAGGGAAGAAGGAGCTCAGCAGAGGGCAGCCACAGTGCTGGGCCGCAGACGCTCAGGCCCAGGAGGACCGGATGGAGCTGCGGCCGTGGTCATGGGGACACAGGCCTCGCTGGAGCAGCTTGCTGACCTGAGTTGGGGAGGGGTGGAAGGCAGGGACAGTCAGAGGGAGACGAGCGGCCAGCTGTGAAGTCCCCTGCTGGGCCCCACCAGCGAGGTGGGCTCTCTAGGTCACGCAGGGAACCAGGGCTCACCCCCAGCCAGTTCTAACAAGGAGCAGGAGACAGATGGCCTTTAGCAGAGAAAGCAGCCAACCCCTATTTGTACGGCTGATGGGGGTTGGAAGTTTTCTACAGACCAGAGTATAAATGACTCCCATCCTCTGGATTTTCCGAGGAAAGCTGTTTGGTCTTCTTACAGCAGCTTTAAAACTCCCTGCCACTTGTGTATTCCCCGGCTTGTCTCTTCTGCACGATGCACGGCCTTCATACCTAAACCAGACGTGTCCCTCCTTTGGGATCTGAGGGCACCAGAGCCAGGAAGAGCAGGCAAGGGAAGGCAGCCTCCTTCTCTGCAGGGCAGGCGCCAGGTGTCTGATGGAGATCCCGAGTGGGTCGCCAAATGTCACTCCAAGTGCACACGGCCGTGGAGCCCAGGCCAAGCCGTAACTGATGGCGGTCAGGGCAGATCCATCTTCCAGCCGGCGGCTGATGCTCTGTGGTTAATGGTGGATGTGGCAGTTGCCTTCTGGCCCTGTGCTGCTGTCACCTGTCACATTAGCGGCTCAGAGCCCGGATAGAGCCCTTACTCTGCACTCCACCCAATCTGGCTTCAGGGCGCCATGTGCCTGGCACTCCTCCCAAGAGAAGCGCCCTGGAGTTGTTGGCTGGCGAGGGGCAGCGCCAATCTGTTCGCCTGCTTGCTGCTCCTGTCTGGGCGCTGTGTCCAAAGAACATGAGGGACCAGAAGTGGGGAGTACGGGGCTGGCGCCAGGCAGGTAGAGGGGGTGGCCTGGCAGCTCCATTGGAGAGCGGCATCGGCCACAAGGGCAGAGCCAGCTGGCTCAGGGACGCAGACTTGCGCTCCGCCCAGTCCCTCGGCTCCTGAGCCACACCGGAAGAGCACCTCTGGCTGCAGGCATCAGGGTGCCAGCATGGGGGCCATCTGCCACAGGGAAGACTGGACTTGATGTTGGAGGGCACAGGAAACCTGAGAATGGCCACAGTCTCTCAGCATGACTGTCTTTCCAGGACAGTCTTGGGACAGCTAGTGAGGCTTTTCCCCTCACTGGCCAACCCAGGACAGACTGGCCTCAGGACTCCTGGCCACAGGCTATGGCTGGCCTCTGTCCACACCAGTTGCTGCCTCGCAGGGGCTTTCAGGTCGGGGCCTGTCAATCAGAGGTGCTGGCAGGGTCTCCCTGCCAGAGTCACCAAACTCCTGACGTCCCAGGGGACCCAAGGCGCAGGCCAGCACTCCAAGCAGCTTTTCATGAGATCAAGACACAGAGAAGCTGGGTGTGAGCTCAAGCCATCCCCCCACTGCTCAGACTGCAGCTGACCCAGGCCCCTAATGTCAGCCTGCTGGGGCTGTCTGGCACGCCTGGGCATCTGGAAGAACCTCACTCCCCTGTCCTGGCCTGGCCAGCAGAGCCTGGCCCAGAAGGCTCCCCAGCGCCCCCATCTGTCCTCTCTGGCAGCTGCAGGCGTGATTCAGGCCCGCTGAGAGCCTGGGCAGGTGGAGTGGGCTGCCGGCCCCACTGCGGGGAAACCCAGCTGCAAACGGAGCCCAGCTCAGCAGGACTGAGGAAGGCGGGCAGGCCACTTACCTTTGATTCCTTCTTCTTGACTTTCTGAGGTAGACATGGTCTCTGGAGAAAGACAATCTGCTTGGTGGATACATGCCCCTCCCTGTAACACACGGGGCTAGGGATGAGTTACCTTACAGCTGGGGAAGCCCAAAGCTACCCAGACCCCGTTAGCGTCTGCCCCCAACAGAAAGCCTCTCCCACCAGATGATGAGAGGCCAGGAAGCAAGGTGCTCCCAGCCCCAGGGCACGCACCGCACAAAAGCTTTGTGCATATCTCCGTGACATCAGCTTCACAGATGGGAACTCCCCTTCTTCCCTTTATTTGAAACCTAGCCAGCATCTGGCCAAAAGATGACAAACTGGCTTCTTCAGTGAATCTGGATGGGTGGGAGGCCTCTTCCTCACCTGCCTTTGGTAATGAGGCTGCAGAGAGGCGTGGCTGGCCCAGACGGGAGGGCAGATGAGGCCCAGCTGAGCACAGGGTCCCCCGGCGAGCCTGCTCCCCCGTGCTGGGTGGCATGGCAGCATGACTCCTGCAGGCCCAGGGTGCTGCTCACTTTCCTGGCCCAGTGAGAGCGCTCTCCCTGCCGGGAAGGCATGGCCCTTCTAAGCTGCCCTTAGATGTGACAGAACTGCCTGTAAAGGAGGTATGGTTTTCTCCACCCTTCCTATCATTTTCCTACATCTCTTTTGCAAATGTCTTCTCTGCCAAGGCAATGTGTCACCCAGCACACGGAGTCTTGTATGGAGGGAGAGAGCTCACCTATGTTGTGCCAGGGCTGGGCGGGAAGATGTCCCACATGGCCCACTTAAGCCTTACCCCAGCGCTCTGAGGGATGGGGCCACCGCTTAACAGACAGGAAACACAAGCTCGGTTTAGGAGCAGGCTGGAGATCCCATGGCAAGGATTTAAGCTGAGGCTTGCCTGGTCCCATGTGCTCCCCACTACCCAATGAGTGGTCACTTAAGGCACAGAGAAGTGGACGAGTAGGGAGGATTCGTTAGCAGGTGTGACTATTCGGGACAAAAAGACTGAAAGACAAAAAGACCTACCCATCTGCGTCCTCTGGGCTGAAAGAGCTCAGAACAAGCTGAGACTTCAAGTTCCAGCGCATTCTCAGCATGCCCCTGGTCCTCTGGATAGGACGGTGGGGCAGGCATCCTTCCATCTGATGGTCTAGAAACTGACTCAAGGAAGGTACGTGACTTGACCACGGTGGAAAGTTAGCAAGTGGCAGATTCAGGACTTGGATTAAGTCTCCAGGCCACAAATCCAGGTTTTTTTTCCCATGCCCTGTGTCATCCCAAGCCCACAGAACTCCTGCATACTCCCAGGGGTCCAAAGGTGCCTACAGACTGGCTCCCATAGATGTGCAGACCCATCTTGGCCCCATGTCAGGAGGGAAACACTTGAGGGCCCAGCTGGGCTTGTGGAAAGGCACTGATGGTCACTGTCATTCTCCGTCCTCAGTCTGAGCTCTGCAACTGCCCCACCCTGCTTTCGCCCCAGATCAGCAGCTTTGGCTCATGCTGTCCATCCCCCTGCCACAGTGAGTGCGCAGCAGGCCTCGGGGAAGGTGCAGCACTGAGGGCCAGGGGAGGGGCATCCCTCTAGGTCAGTGAAGAGGCGCTTTCTGTAGGAAGAGTGCCTAACTCTGCAGGCTGAGGGTCCAGTCCCAGCTTCTGCCACTTAGTGGCTGTGTGGCCCCAGGTATGTGGTAGGGCCTCTCTGAGCCTCAGTTTCCTCATCTGTAAAATGGGAATCATATCTATGCTTACAACCCTGCAGGGCAGTTAGGAGGATCTGTTTAGGTAACAAACCCAAAATACAGATGGAAGGCCTTTTCGGGTTGGTAAGACTGGGATAAGCCCATGGGCTCCAGGGACAGCAGACAAACGACCATGAACCTGAAATTGTGAGAGCCCCAGGCAAGAGCCAAGACTCCAGGACTGCCCATCCTCTGTGTGGGGCTGCCGACCAGTGCCGGGGCCTTGGGCGCATCCTCCAACGTACCCGGCCACACTTTCCTCAGCTGTAAAATGGGTTCCATAAGAAGATTCCACCTCACGGGATCTTCTGAGTACTAAATGAGATTTTATATGCAAAGTGCCTACCTAGGCCAGCACAGGGCACACAATAGGTGCTGAATTTCTTTTGCACCTGAGAGCCCCAGGCCCCCTCTTCCCAGGTGGCTCATCTTTGACATGCTGGGCAATAATGATTCACTGACCAAGCTTCCCCACGTGGGCAGAGGGGTGCAGGAGAGGGCTCTGGGTGGCTTGGCTACAAACCTGCAATCCTGACTGTCACTTCCCAGTTGGAGAGTTTATGTAATTACTCCAGCTCCCATACTTGTACAGGTTTTGCTATGTTATATATATGAAGCACTTTTTGGGAACAGGGCCTAACAGAGTTCGTGTTCGAGAACAGTACTAACAGACTGTCACTGTTACCTGGTGGTTTTGACGACGGGCGTCGGCAGCACACAGGTGAGCTGCCAGCCATAGGCTGCCAGGGAGTTCAGCAGGGGCACGTAGTCTGTCTGCACCTCGACACCCTGGGGGAGAGAGGCTACCGTAAGGCTGAGGCCCCTCATGCCAGCACCTGCATGACTGAGAGGGGCAGTTCAGCCTGCCAGCCCCAAAGAGCAGAAAGGGGCAGGGTACCCTGCAGCCCCGAGGCCCTGGCTCTGATGATGCTGAAGGGGTTCGGAGCCAGCCGGCCAACACGGACCTTCTTTCTGGGCTCCTACTCAGTCTGTGTGGTCGGCAAGGAATTAGCACCAACGGATTAATTAATCCATTGATTCTGTTTTATTCTTGTCCGGACAAACAGCCTCCTGTGAGTTTCAGTGAAATACAATTGCCTTGAAGACATATTCAGGGCCTCTGACAACACGCACTGCTCCAGATGGTTTCATGGCATGTTGTGCAGAGTTAGATTACATCTGACAAATGATCATGCCATTTGCATCTAACACTGCAGCAATGCATGCACACACACCCACACTCACGCACATGTGCACACACATACGCACACGCAGATGCACATACCCTATGCAGGCATGCATGCGCGCACACGCATGTGCACATGATGCATGCATGCATGCACACAGAGCTTCACCTGCGTTAGGCATCCTGCCATAAAGGGAAAATGAAAGCAGCCTGTATGTTATTTCATATCAGCATGGAGCAGGGAGATGAGCCCTTGACTGCAGTGTGAAACCCCAGCCTGCTCCCAGGGGTCAGGGCCCTTCCGTGAGTAAGGCAGGCCCTGGGTCTGCACCACGCTTCCTGCTGCACAGCCCTCACTTCTCACTCTGGGCTCCCCGCTGATACTAGGAGTGCGCCCCCTGCAGCCCTGTGGACAAGGGCACTCCCCATTTCTGTCAGGGTGGCTTCTTGGATTTAGCTTCAGCGCATTTCACACTTGTGTCCAGATTCCTTCCAACCGTGGCAGCCACACAGATCATTCAGCCAGGACTTGGAGCCGTGGTGGGTACTCGATGAGTGAAGGCGCTGTTCCGCTGCCAGAGCTCACAGTCCAGCAGAGGCAGCGGTACCAACATGTAAGTAACGCAGGGCCACGAGGCTGCCAAGTCAGCATAAGAGAAGGCAGGCTTGGAGAAGGGCTGCGGGGATGCGGCGGGCGAGCCGGGGCAGGGCTTCATGGGGAAAGCCCGCATGGGCCGCAGACCGCCAGGGCCAGAGCATTAACTCGGGCGCAGTGCTGCTTGCAGGGCCCGTCTGTGGCGAGAGGCTGCCCTGCCGGAGGCCTTTTGGGAGTAGAAACAGCTCATCGGGCTGCCCTGGGCCAGGGGGCCGAAGGGGCATGAGGAACAGCCAGCCCTGCTTCCTCCAGTGGCTTCAGCGCTCCTTTCACAGGCACACGTCCCAGCGCGGCTAGTGAGCCGCTGAACCCTGGCACGTAATGGGTGTCCCCGGAGGCTCAGCTTCCTCCACGGGAAACCAGTCTCGCCCCATGTTTGTGGTTCTCAGTGTGGTGCCCAAGCCAGCAGCCTGGGCATCCCCTGGAACATGCTAGGAATGCAGTCTTGCCACCCCACCCCCGGGCCTATCCTGCTAAGACGAGAGTGCGGCTGAGGCCCCCAGTAAGTCCCTTCTGATGGCAGGAAGGAGCCTTCATCTGCAGCCAGACTCACCGGCTGTGACCTCAGATCCACTCTTTCCTGCCGCTCTCCAGGTGAGAAGGAAAAGTAGAGGGACTTTGAAAGGATCAACCCTGTTAGAAACAGTGCTGCTGGGAGGAGATGGACGGGACGGGAGAGGAGGAGAGGAGCAGGCCCCTCCCGCGAAGCCCGCACTCAGGCCCCAGGCGGCAGAGGGCCTGGGGGGACCTGCCCGGCTGCTGGGGCACCCGGCCTCCCTCCCGAGCAGCAGGGCCAGTGCCAGGAGCCTCACCCCTGCTGCGGCTGCCTCTACTGAGAACCCCTGCCCCCACCCCTGCGTCCCTGGTTTCAGGAGAGGAGGGGAAAGTGTTAAATCCATGCTCTCAAGCTCTGGGAAGTCATGATTACTTGAGCCCATCAAGAATAACCTTCGCACTTTATCAGGCACTGTGACAAACCCGCCAGACTCAGGCAGTAGCCATGGCAACCAGGACAAGCGTTGGCACCTTACTAAGCGCCAAGCAGCAGAGTGGAGTCCTCTCCCTGGTGCCGGTGTCTCCCCGCGGGCACCCAGCGCAGCCAGACAGTGGGCGGGCCCTGCCACCGCCCGACCTGCCTGCTCACACAGGCCTCCGGGCCGCGGCTTCAGCTTTGCTTTGGTTCATTTCATTCTGTCACTATCTTAGAGAGAAAGACAGCAAGATAGTGGGCTTCCTCCCAAACATTTCTTTCCCTCAGGGTAGGAGGGGATGTCAGCCAGAGGGTGCAGAATCATCAAGATGCAAAGAAAAAGAGAAAACATAACAAGACATCACCCTGCTTGAGAGAGCTGAGGGTTCAGTCTCGAGTGTTAATCTCTGGCTGGCACATGGGGAGTCGGAAAGTAAAATACAAATGGCAGGGGGCGAGTGTTACACCCTGCCAGACGCTCCCACTCCAACTCCCTGGCCTGGTCTTGATTTAATTAATGTTCAGTGTGGTATCCCGTTTCTCTGGTGGCTTGCATAGTACCGATACAGCATGAAGATGGCAAGCTATGACACGAGCCCCGCACAGTAAGCAGAAGAGGCTTTCCAGGCCATCAGCTGAGGAAGGTGCAGGAAACCTGGCCGGTGGAGGCTCCCTTTGATCTGCTTCTCCGTGACACTCCAGTGAGGACGGAAAAACACTCAAAGCCAGCCTGCTTATCACACCCACAGACATTTCTTTCTCGGAGTAGGGGTGAAAATTTGAATTAACTCTCCACTCTCCTGTGTGAATACACAATCTCCAACCTGGAGTGCTAAAAAAATGGAACATGTCCTGTGGTTTCAAACTGTATAAGAAGAGTTCATTTGTATTTATGGCTCTTTAATTTCTTTGTTCCCCATAATTTCTCCAGTGGTAGATAGACATCCAACACAACCTCTTCTTACCCGCCAAAAATCACAACAGCTGAGCACAGAGTTTACTAGGAAATGCATTTGTCTTTTGATTATGTTTAAAGATACTCCATGCAGGGAAATAATTAGGTTAACTCATTGGTCCAGCGGGAAAGTCTGTGTCCTCAATACCAGCTTGCTCTTCTCTCTTCTCCTGTTTGAACTTGTGAAAGCAATCTGGGAGAAAAGCAGTTTAAAAGAAACGACTGTGCTCATCATACATGATTGTAAGCAAAGAGAGGAGTTCAATGTCTTGTGTCTGAAAACTGCAGAACCAGCTCTGCGATGGTCTCCTGGTTTTGCTGGAGCCCAGCAAAACACAGTGTGTGCCTTTTGTACAATTGCTACAAACACTAATGGCCAAAGCTTATTCGCAAGATGTGTTTACGCCACTATTTCTTATCAGTTTTTTATTATCTTTAGATCTCCTACCATGAGACGCAAAAGCTTAGCACTCCCACACACATTTCTTACTGCCTCTTTCTCAGTGTCCCAAAGAGTGCTAACCTAATTTAATTAAATCAAATGTCAGTGTTTGTGTTATTACAACTTTGCAAATATGGCTCAATGCTGGGTCAAGAAATGTACTGTGATCACATCTTTTTTTTTCCTGGAGTTGTGACTTTAATTTTTTTTTCATCAGCCTGGTTTTACCCAAACCTGTCATTAATTTATTGTATGTGTTCCAACACCTCTATTTTGTGCCCATCAGTAAATATCCCACGTGCCTAAAGGCATTCGTTGTTTTTTCTCCCCTTTGAGCCATCATTTCTGGAGCTTTCTGTACCTTTGCTCCCATCTGGTCTGACTGTCCAGGCCTGGTTCTCCCTCCAATGCCGACTACGGTTGATGTTTTCTCTTTGGTGGTTTCCTCATTTTGCAGGTGCACATCTTCTAGAGGCTCCCAGGGAAACAATTCTCTGGAAGTCATCTGAATCCCTGCATTCCTAAAAACGTCTTTGTCTTTACCCTTAACTAACAGTTTGGGTACAGAAATCTGGGCCGGAGTCTCTTTTCTTGGAGATGTCAGCACTGCTTATTGCGATAGTTATTTTGATTACTACTTTGAGTCTTGCTGTGGTGTTGCCTTCTAAGATTTTAAGATATTTTCACCAGGAAGCTCCAGAATTTCACAGCGTGCCTCGGGTCTTTCTCACTCAAATGGCTGCATGCTTGATGCCCTTGTAGCCTGAGCGTCCTTGGCCTTCAGATCTGAAAGTGTTTTCTTGGTAACTTTTCTCTCCTCTGTTTTCTCTCTTCTTTCTTTCTGGACCTTCTAACTAGTCAAAATGTAGGATTGATAATTTACTTTTATTTCTTTTTTTTCCCACTCTTTGTTGCTTTTTATTTCACCTTCTAAAGGATTTCCTTTATTTTCCAGCCTTTTAATTATGTTTAAAATTTTTCTGTTGCCTGATTTTAAGACCAAGAAGTTCTTATATTTTGATTCTTTTTTTTTTAGCATCTTGGTTTTGTTTCATGGATACATATTATTTTATCTCTTTAAGTGGTTTCTTCTGATCCCTGTATTATCTCTATGTTACTGGGTTGCATGGGGCAGAGACAGGAGCTAAGGATCTTAGCACAATATATGAGGACTTTAAGCCAATGCCCTGGTTTTCATCTCTGTACTTCCCGCCACCTCATGGTACTTTGAAGATCAGAGTTTTTCTCAGGTACTCCAAGAGAAAATGGCTCCCCCCTTGTACATCTAGTCTGCAGCTCTGCACACTTTGCTAAATCAACTAGCATTCTATCCTCTTTTCACCTTCTTAACGTTTATTGAAATCATAACTCTTCTTTTTTCTCTTCTCCCAATCTTTTTGTTCTTGTGGATATCTACTCTGTCTATCTACAGCTGATTTTCATTATTCCTAGGACTGACCTTCTATAATGTTGCCGCACTGAATTATCAATACCGCACCATGGCTCTCAGGGGAGATACAGGGTTAGAGTCTCATCACAACATCTTTGTCATCTCATCAATATAGAACTTTAAGTGTGTTT